GTTGCGGTCGAACCGGAAACCGTTGCGTAAAAGTAAATTGGTACTTCGTATACGATTCGATATTCGAAAAACACGGTGTAATATTAATGTAATGTGTTCATAATATAATGGGTAATCCTTTTATATACGGATCACGAAAAAAGGAAAAGAATTTGCACGGGACACAAGGGGAAGAGTAGACGTAAAATTGAATCGAACTTTTGACACGAGGGCACCCTCGACAGAGATCGACCTAATCACGATAAGAAACGAACGTATCCAGTTAACCTCGTGATATTGACATCTTAATGAGCGGTGAAAACTCGACCCGGGTAACAAAGCCGTAGTTAGCGCGTAGGAGGAGGGTTTAAACGTTGCATAAAACGATTCCTCCTTTCCTAATTGCTTTCTCTCTTCTCAAAAAAATGCTGCTTTTAATCAGTACGATTTTTTTCGATTCGCGAAACGAATGAACGTGAATCGTTTCGATTTTAACGATTTTAACGCTCGAAGAGAGGAGAGAGAGAGAGAGAAAAAACGAGCGTTTCGATTCGTTTCGAGCGACCCTTCTTAAACTCTTACGCAACAAAAATTATGCCGGTAACGATAAGGGAATATTAGTGGATCGCGAGGTGCATCTACGAATCCGTCCGCTTAACCGGCAATGATTGTCGCGTCAAATCTAATCAACGGTACACGCAAGAATATATAGACTAAAGCGGCGAATCACAGTTTTTTAATCACGAGCGCGTCGCTTAATTGAGCGTTGCTCGGCCATCGCACGACGTCCAACGCAACTAACTATTCTCTCTTCTTGATTACAGTCATGACTGGCGTCGTTCACGTAACTTTTGCCATTTTTTTCACCCGATCTCCGTGTTTAACGTTCGTGCATTCGTGTAAATAACACGTTGCTCGAGTTGCACGATCCGAATTATGCATAAATGTGATTATAAATGTTATTTTTTTTTATCGAAATACGCTTCGTTATTCATAACGAATCATCGTATGATTATCGGCACGGCTACAGAAAATTACGTAAAGAAAAAAAAAAAAGCAATAAACGTTCGATTTCGATCACAATTTCCGTGAGTTACTCTTTTTTGAAAATAAATAGAATAATAATATATTTATATTGTATATTGAAATTTCAGAGAGATTAGGCAAAAAGCAGACGTGGTATTCCATCCTGAGAATCACACGGTCAGCTACTTCAACCGTCGATGGTGGTTCTTCGTGCCGGAGCTTACGAACGGTTCCCTGAACGATCGCGTCACGCAACTGAATACCGTGGCGATCGTGAGTAAAATTCAATTTTTCTCTGATCAATTTTATCCCGACCGATTTACGATTTACGATCGTGACCGGTGTCGCGTTTCAGTCGGCAAAACACAAGGTACGATATTGGGTCGATGCGCTGCAAAGTACCCTTTCGTTGATGCTCGCGACATCGAACGTGCACATCACAAAGACGGTAGACGAGCTGTTGTTCCGCGGTTACGACGACTCGTTGATCGAAATTGGAAGAATGGCTGCCATAGCGGACGACATACCACCCTTCGACAAATTCGGATGGTTTTACATGGTAAGATGTTTCGGATTATCGAACGATCCGAACGATGAATAGTAAGTAACTAAAATTGTTTATCTAATAGTGTCGAGGGCGTGCAGAAGGTCGAAGATGCGATTTGCGCTGTTGTAGCAACGGCATTGCAGCCGGCTATAAATTATTCGCAGCGAGACTTAAATTAGTACTGAATAGGACAGGTCACGTGTAGGTCGGTGAATGACAAATGAAAAGCAATGGGAGGCATATTATGTATTAATTTGTTACGTCACTCGTGTACCTACATTTGTGGCGGATTAATCCTACGATATATTCTATTCTGTCCGCGCCTTTCCCTTTTTCCTTTTTTTTTTTTTTTTTTTCTCAAAGATCGTTGAAAACGCTGCTCTCGCTCTCGTTATCATCAATCGCGTCGTTCTTTCAGAGGAACGGCTCTACGACGTTCGATGGCCACTTCAATATGGACACGGGCACCGACGACGTCGCCAACTTCGGCAAAGTGAAGAAATGGAATTATCGAGACACGAGCAAATTGTTCAACAGTCCGTGTAACGTGATCGAGGGAAGCGCGGGAGAGTTTTGGCCGCCGTACAGAGAGAAGGACGAGATCGTTTTGTTCAGCGGCGATCTGTGCAGGTCAGTCGCGACGCGTGTCTCTACGTACTCCGCGCTAATTAGCCTCGTCTGTCGAAACGGACAAAATTAAACGCCGGCGAGAACCTTTGTTGCCAAGCATCCTCCTCATTGACCTTCGAGAGACACGTAAATTGGATCGTCCGGTAATCCCGTTTACACGCGACTCTCCTCCTCCCACTAGTGGAGAATGAAGTTTTGATAAGTTTTCGTTTCGAATTGATTCCCTTTTTCTTCCGTTCGTCCCATTCCAGACCGTTGACGTACGAGTACGCGCAGACGAATTATCACATGGGATTGGAGGGATATCGTTACGTGCTAGGCGAGAAGACGTTGGGAAACAACACGAAACGACGCTATCCCCACGAACAGGCCAAGTATTTCGAGCAGACCACCACCACCGAGGACTTTTTCGATGCCGAACACTCGACCGAGACCACCGATCCTCCGGAACAGGATCCGGACGTGGTAAACATAGGCAACTGTTTTTGCAATGGAAGGTGCAGTCCTGCTGGTTTGATGAACGTTAGCTCGTGCCGACACGGAGCTCCTGTGTTCGTCAGCCTGCCTCATTTCAACAGAGGCGAACCGAGCCTCAGGGAACGGATAACCGGACTCGACGAACCCAACGAGGAATACGATTCGTACATAATTCTCGAACCGGTAAGTTACCTAGGTTTTCCCCCTCTATCTTTCCATCCGTTTATCCATTCATCCAACTTGCCCAATTTCGAATCTTCGTACATCTCATCGATATTTAAACGACTAAATACTTTATTTCGTTTCGTTCCACCGTGAAAACAAAGTAATCGAATAAAGAGATAAATACTGTTCGCTGAGGAAAAAAGTCTCGCGGGACGACACAGGGGCAAGAGGGAATCCAAGTCCTTCGCTAGGACTGTTTATCCCCACTTCAAACGCTTTGTTGACAAACCTAGCACCACACCTTCTAGTGGAAGAGCTATAGTATATATATATATATATATATATTATATAATATAATATATAATATAATATATATAAATTCGAATATTCAAAATCGTAAAAATTTATGAAATTATGTTAGGATAATCATTTAAGACTAGAAACTGAAATATTTTATATATTTTATAAATATTTTATTTATTATATATTTTCGAAACTATAGTATATCTATCTTATTCGTATACATATAATTATTATCTTAACTATTCGAATATGAAATTATATTTATGAATTAAACTATTGTTAAAATCGTAATTAGCCTATGCGTATTATTAAAAATAAAAAAATTTTTATATTATATCGATACGTTAGAATATTCTGAATTCTATTCCTACGTTAATACATCGAAGTTTAGATACAGATCGTTATTTTGAATTAGTATATGTGACAAATACCATGGCAGAGACAAAAATGCGTGAAAGTAGGCGTTTCCTTCCATATTAACCAATCAGATCTTGCATTTCTTCCGCGAGACTTCTTTCCACCAATACAAACAGTAAGTAACGAATAAGCGATTGACTTTTTTCAGACAACGGGCATTCCTCTCAAGGTTTCTGCCAAGTTTCAAATCAATATACTGCTAGAACCGTCAAAGACAGTGACGTAAGTACGTTTCCAATGATAATTAGATCGATGGACAGATATATATTTACGATAGATTTCTGTTTTAGACTTTACAAGTCTGTGCCGACCATTTACTTCCCGGTGATGTGGTTCTCGTTGGAGGTCGAAGCGACCGAGAAGTTCGTTAACGATTTGAAGAAATTTTTGTCGTTGCCCAACGTATGTATATACGCTGGTATAATTATGATCCTCGTTGGATCGCTCATAATTTTAACGATGGTTATATTATACCTGTTAAACAGGCAACGCGCCACTTCGATAGCTATCGACAAGGTAAATGGAAATTATTTAACACGAAATTTACATTCAGTAATAACGTATTTAAGATCTAATCGTTCCCGCGTTGACAGAGCGTGAAGCAAGAGATGGCATCGGCGAAGAAATCGGAACTGGTTTACTTGGACAAGAACAACGCGGCCGACGACGTACATGTGAGAAACGATCGGAAGTTGTATCCTAATTCGATCGAATGTTTTAACATGGATCTACAATCGAAGCTACAGACTCAAAAATAGAAATAAGAAAAAAATAAAACATCCATCGATCGGATATCTATGCCCGATAGATGGCAATTGATGATCGAAGGATTTCCTCTGCGAAAAAGCGTTCGTTGTTTGAACGCTGCGTTGGCTATGCGAATTAAGCGAAGATTCTTGTGTGACGAGTTTTGATATATATATATATATCAAAATATAGGAAAGTAGAAGACAAATTTTTTTTTAACTCGTTACACGAGGATCACCAACTTTGGGTTGACATTTCAACCGGATTTTGTATCAAATTTAGAATCGTAGGCAAAATTAATTAATGTCTATATAACAAAAGATATGGACGTATATAATCGGATGTAGAATCTTTCGTGTTTTCAATCGTTTTGATGATGAAACGAAAGTACAGCATGATTATATTTCAACTAAGCATCCGAAAATAGTTTGCATCGATTCGACGATAGTACGTACCTACCTTTATTATTCAATAAAACCAAATATAATTATGTATTTGCGAAGAGAGCGCGAACGATGCTTCGATAATTGACATTTATTGATAGAAATAGAATTTGAAATCGAATACCGATCAAAATTGGTTCGGTTCGAATTTAATAGCGAGCGTAATTAACATGTAAATAGATAGATAAATGGGACCAAGGAACTCTTAACTCTGCTCAACCGTAAACATCGGTTATACTCGTTAAGCTACAATCAAAGATAACGAGACACGTCAATTAGGCCAAACTTTACTTTCACGGCCATCGTTCAACGTATTGGTTGTATATCTACGGTTAGTATACGAATGAATAATAATATTGCCGATATCAATGTTCCTATCGTTCCGAATATTACTTTTGTGCCAAACTCGAGAAACCTGTTAAGTTTTTTACTTGTTCACTACTTGTTTATAAGATTGCCATGAATGCCAATGATTTATATAAATCAAGCGTGATACATAAATTGCGAGATTTAAATCGATACACGATAGTTAGGTATTATCGTATAGATATATTGTAACTACAAAAAAATACGTCTGTCCATTCTAAAACCGTACGATTTTGTATTGTATTTTAATAAAAAAATTCCAAATTTTTATCACCGTATAATTATTCAAACGTTGCGTATAGAATATTATCGTTTTCGCAAAAATTTTTTGCGAAAATGGAAACGGACCAAATCATATGTTACAATATTCATGATGCAATTAAATTATGCTTTTTATCATCAATGGATCACTAAGTGCTCGAATACATCGTTCGTTGATAAAAACATTACATATGCTCGTATATCTTCTCTTCTCTTTTTTTTTCTTTTTTTTTAATCAAATCGCAAACGAGATACGAAACATTCAATTTGCATTCTTTTTATCTATTCGGAGGATCGATACTTCTGTATATTCCAGGAACGAATATAGATAAGAAAAGGAAATAAGAGAAGAGTCAGAGATAGAATAAAAATTGTGGAATCAGCATTATTTCATTGAATGATATAAATGTCTCCTTAAAAAATCATTTTCTGAAAATATTCAAGAGATGGCGCTGACCGTCAATTCTTATTTCCATGTTTCTTCCACTCTTTTCTACATGTGTTCTATATTTTTTTAATTGCGAAATGGCGTTGATCTCATATTTTTTATTTTATCTCTTTGTCCGTAAAATTCAAAAAATATTCGCTTCGATATCTCATTATTTTTATTTTTTTCGTTGTGTATTAATTATATGATACGAATATCGTAAATGATTTAATAAAAATCCACTTTTTTTTACAATTCTACTCATACATGAATTTGACTACTATTCGTTAAAGCAGTTAAAAGAATCTACGAATATTATTTGATACGTATAATAATGCCTGAAAATATTTATAAAAAAATTCTATCGATTTTTGTGATTGAATCGAATATAATTTTTTTTATACATCATTCTAAATCGTACAGGATACAGTAAATGCTCTGATTTTTCGTGCGATAGGTATTTCAGAATATGAGAGTTTTTTAAATTTGATTTTTCTTTGTATCAAATTTTTGTGATCAAATTTTTTATTTTTACACCGATAAAACGCTAATTTAACAAATAACGTTTATGCACGTCCTAACCATTAAAAATTTCTTATTTCTTTAAGCTTTTTACAATAACATTATGTATTTTTATCTTGCGTTTCAATTACCTTTCTTCTTAAATATGTATTCAAGCGGATATCTCTAGCAATGATTAGATAAAAAAAGTTAAAAACGGAATAGGACTGAACGTTACTTTCAATACATCGTGTAAAATTTAAAAATGACTAAAATTTACAAAAAAACGATCGAAAAAATTATACACAAGAGAAATGATTTTTTGAAAATGACGAGATTCGAAACTGATTTTTCAGCAGCTGGTAAGGGACACATCGTTCCGTATTGATCTCTCAACGCTTACATAACATTCTTCGTTAACACTAGCAATATTCAATATCTGACATTCCAGTAAAAGAAACACGAGCGTTCGATCGATGTCGATTGAAAATCGTCATCGATAAGTTTTAGTAAACCTTTCATTCGAGTTAACGATACGTAGAGGGATCTGTGGGAAGTGAAACGGAGTTGCTACGGAGGAAGGCAAAAGAAAAGAAAGCCAAAGAAAAGGAAAGTAACACGGTAGGCGATTTCAAAATATTACAATACGCGCGACGAAAAAAAATTGCGATCGGAATCGCGTTTTACGAGGTGACGAGGAATAAAATAGAGCGAATAACCGGTGGAACGAAGAGTTACGCACGTACCGGTGTGTGTGTCTGTGTGTGTAAGCCACGTTGACCTCGAGTCCGTGTATCGCCAAAAGCCACGTAAGACGTGTTTACCAATTAATCGAATAGACACGAAGCGCCACTGTAACTAAGAAATGAATTTGGTAAGTCGGTAAGTCGACACAATTTTCTAGCCTTTGAATAAGAAAATGAATTTTAACTTAGATCGCGCGAGAACGTTTTGTCCTTCGTTTCGTTGGGATCGGTAGCCTTCTTCGAGCGAAATATATAAGCAGGCATCGAAACGTCTAATCGTCACGTCGCGACGCGTCGGTTTGTTTCAATTCCGTATACGACTTTAAAGAGGATATCTACGAGCACTCGTCGAGTCGTAGTAAGAAGGAAGAGTGGAGAGTCGAGGGGAGAGAATGAGAAAGAGAGACAGAGCTTCGACTCGCGCTACAAAAGAGAGTATTCCCTATTGTCTCGGAGAAACTGCCATTTTCTATTGTATCTCAACAGCGCCGGCCCTGAGTTTGCTTCCTTCTACATAGGAGGGTGCGCGCGCGTTATCGTATCTACATACGTAGGCACACACGCACGCACACTCAGTGGGGAAAGGAGACACAGTGTCGACCTGGAAAATTTGGAACGCGCCGATGCATTTCCTCTTCCTTGCTCGCTCGGGAAAAGAGTCAAGGACAAGTCCGGAAGTTACGACCGATTTAGGAACGAGGCTTTTCGCGCGAGGCTGCTCGTTTCGAGTATTTGCGAGGAACGATATCCTTTCGAATTTATTTCTCGCGTTACGTAACGGGATACGTAACGCCATATTAAATATTTATTCTTTCTTATTCCCCGAACGCATACGAATAAAAAGAGTAGGAAAAATGAATTTCCCTAGAGTCGATTATTTTTATTTCGTTACATCGAAAAGGCAGCAATTATCGCGATGAAATAAATATTAAAATTAAATTCAACGATTGCACAAGAAATAAGAGTAATTTCTCGTTCCCACTCTTATTACGCGCTAATTATAAGTGCGCTCTTTTCCTTCCTTTTTTTTTTTTTTTTTTTTTTTTTTTCATTTTTCCTCTACCTTCGTGTTCCATTTTTTCCCCCTTCCCCGTTTCGCGAATTTGTTTCTTAATTCAAAGAAATATTTTTATATACGCAATTTTTTTTTTTTTTTTTTTTTTTTCATAAGCGATTGAGTTTTTCGTAAATAATCGAAAGAAATAGAACGCAAGAACGATCGGTTGTTCAACTTTTACATACGCGTTCAGCGAGATAAGAATTAGTTTTTTTCCGCGAACACGTGACTCGATTGACAAGCGTCTGTGTAATAACAATGCATCATCGCTTTGTAAATTTCCTTGGCGTGAAAGTATAACGAGATCGAGGTGACTAGATCGAGGCGCAAAACGTGGCGCAAGGTTCGCGTCACGTACTCGTTTACCCTTTTTCGATCGCGAACCCTCGACAGATGTTTCAAAGCCGACCCTTCGCCGATCCGAGAAACGAGCCCTGTCGTCGGGTTTACGGCTCGATTAGGGCTCACGCGTTCAACACATGTCGCGTCAAACGATATGCACGCAGACCGGCTACGTAGCGTTTTCGAATGGTAATCGCAATCGCCTCGCCCAGATAAATTTTCGCGATACGATTTCACCGATAGGATGCGCGCGACTTTCGATCGCGGTTGAATTATACGCATCGAGTTTGGTTTTCGATTAATAGGGAGGTATCGATTATTCGAATCCCGCCCAATGTCGAGAAAAATTCGTATCTCTCGGCCAAGAGTGTAAATCCCACGTAAGAGTACGATCCTACGTTATTACGCATAATTTTAGATTTGAAAAATACATCGTTTGCACAGATGCACCGGTTAGCACAGCGCGACTCGGCTATCGATCTCGACCCGTTATCAATTACACGGGATATTTGAACAATTTTCCGATAAACGCGGACACCTGGTTCCACTCGACTTTTCGATTCTTACCTCTGGACGAACTTTCTTTTATTCCATCTTTATTCCATCTTTCCAACTTGCTCACTTACTTATTTACTTATTTATTTATTTACTCGCACGATAAAACGAAGCGTTGAAACCAAGTTTTCGGAGGCATGGAAATCCGAAAATTAAATTCGCAAGAGAGGAGAGCGCGAATCCTTTATTTCTTCGAGCCGGCTTCTAATTCGATCCTGTCCCCCCTCCCCCTTCCCCTGTATCCAGTATTC